GTTCCAAACGTTCCACTTCTCATTCCAGCCACCAGTCCGTCCATCCTTAAATCGCGCTTCCGTCCGAATAACTATTTTTGTACTTGTTGTTGTTGTTGTTGTTACTTTTGTTGTGACTGTTGTTGTTGTTCCTTCGTCGTGTTACTATTACTAACTAACGTCTCTCCAAAGATTTCAAAAGAAACAGTCATCTGTCAGTCACTAACAGAACACAGTATTTGGAGCAGCCGGTCTGTGTGGAAACAAAGCTTAATTTATTTATTAATGAATTTATATTGACATCTAATGGTCACTTTCGGTCTTCTTTTAAGTCATTTTGAGCGTCGATTGGGTGCACTGGCCGCTGTTTGTTTCATTATTGTAACCAAAGTGCCTTAAAAACTGTATTATCATCATCTTATGTGCAAGGAAGTCTACGACACGTGATAACATGTTTGCGACAAATAAAAGGTAACACCTGTCAATCTTCGTTGGCTTCTTGTGAGTTCATGCTTTCCACGAGGTCTTCGTTTTAGTAAGTGTTTTCAGTTGAACTTTTAGTAGAGGTTTTACGGCGCTCGCAACTGCATAGGGTCATATGAGCGCCAGAAGATTAGAAGTGTTACAAGAGAGTAACAAACATACAAAAGAAGAAGGAGAGATAAGGACGATAGATGTTTGATAGGAAAGAAGTAGCAAACCACACCAGAGCACCTGCCAACCACCCACAGTAAGTGTTTTACGGCACTTGCAACACAATAAGATTATAAGTGCCGAAGAATAGATGTGTTACAAGAGAGTAACATACATACACAAAAGGAGGAGAGATAAGGACGATAGATGTTTGATAGGAAAGAAGGAGCAAACCACACCAGAGCACCCGGCAACCGTACGCTTCCTCCGGAGTGGAGAGAATGTTTTATCAAGTATCTCGGTCGGTCTCTGCTAGGATGTTGCATCCCTCTCTCAGCCAGAGGTGAACCGGCCAGGCAGGGTTGGAGCTCGACTCCTAAATTCTCGGAGACTCGAGTTAGAGTAAAGTATCGCACATTGACACAAAAACAGACATTTGATTTAGTGCTCAGAAAAAGTAAGACATACAGACACAACAGAGATGAAAGGAAAAAAGTTGGACCTACCGCCGCAGCGGCACCCTCCAACCACCCACAGACAGACAGACAGTCAGACAGTAACAAAAGAGGTAGACAAAAGATAAAGGAAGTTTCCACCAGTGGCAAAAACTCCCAAGCTGCAGCCCCACCAACCACCCCACACACTCATGCACACACACACACACACACACACACACACACACACACACACACACACACACACACACACACACACTTTCTCTCTCTCTCACACACACACACACAA